TCCCAAATTTCAACATATATACCATCCGAAATTACAGTTCTAAAGCAAGTCACTTAAAGCATTTATAATCTGGTTAATAAATGTTCAAAAATATCACATAATGAGGGGTTCAAGCGCAAAATGTTTGTGCTGAGAGGAATGAAAATATTTTTTGCAACTTTTCGTTGAAGTACTATTTGTTTCTCACCTTTTTGACCATCCTATGAGAGGGGATAACCAACATGCATTTACGTCTGTAAATGAATGCTGAACCGTTTTGAGTATTCTGAACAATAAATTTGAAGGACTGTTACTCTCCTTGTACTTTGTGGGATGATCTTTCAGCCTAATCATATTTATGATTCGTCTTGGAATTTTTATCAAAATTGTCTGCATCTCAAGAGACAATTACTCCTTAGAATTCTGTCGTGTTTCCATCCCAGAACGTTTTTTTTTGTTATTGAGAAGCTACTTGTTCTCTACGTATTTATTCTGTTTTTCTTAGTATATGTGTATTGATGGGACGATCTTGGCCTGCAATCCGGAGCATTTATATCCTTGATGAGGTTTCAATCATCTTGACAATGCTGATCAATAGCAGTCTGCTGTCTATACTTATATATGTTGATATGTTTAGCATTAATGTTCCAGTCACCTGGCGCAAGTGTACAAATACTACAGGCAAGTACTCTTGAAGTTTATACAAAAGTGATATTTTTTATGAGATCATGACCTTAAATATCGAAATGTTTTTCCAAGCATACATTTTCATCAATTTCAATTCCAAGTATAATTTAAAAGAATGCACTTTGTTAATACAGACTGGGACATAATATATTGATGTTAGTATGAAAGTTCCAGATACAGGTTGCATTTAAAACAAAAAAAATTAGGCAGTGGCTATTTCGCCAGCACCTGCAAAATAGAAAATGCTCTAGTTAAGCGGAAGACAATTGTGCCAGTAAAAAACGATTTTGTTTACAGATATGCATTTGAAAGAACTGACTTTTATTTCAAAAGCAAATTTAATTTAAAAAATTTTTGATTTTGAAGCTATGTGATTGATTTTATTAGATTGTTTAATGTTTTATCAAATTTATATGCAATCATTCAGATTGAATGAGATTTTTAACTTTTATTTTTTTACAGCATACAGTCAGTAAAAAAAAATTGAGATTGTATTCTTATAATAGAAAAACAAAGGATATGGGGTATCCATCCATGACACAAAATCAGTAAATGCACAACAAAAAAAAACATACAAAAAGCAAAGGAACAGCGCTTACGTGTAGCATTAGACTGTGACTGAATTTAGAACTACATGTGTTGATATGATTTCATTGCTACAAATGGATGCTCAATATTTGTATTTCTTTTTACAAATTCTTATTTTCACTTTGACTCATAAATGTTTTAAATGCCAATGATTATATGTATCTCCAGAGATTTTTTATATATGTCTCTGGTATCTCAAATATTGTTACTGTCATCTTATTTAACGTTATGAGTAATAATTTGATTCCGAGTTTCCGATGATGTTGACAGTAAACATTTTCGTAGTACTTTTCAAAAGTAAATATCAAAATTCACTCTTACAAAGAACCGGCCGAAAAAATAAAAAAATCGCTATATTGCCGACGCCGGCAAAATAGCCATTGAAATAAAAATATGCTATTTAATATGCCGGCTTTAATTAAGATATTTTAATCAGAGACGTATTTTACACTTGTATGCAAATTTGTCCGCCATTACGTATAATCACACAGGTCATACCCAAGAATGAAGGACACTAATGGCCGATTACCCTTATCAGCGACACCCGGGGTGCAATGTTTTTAATGATGTTCGATTAACATAGAAAGTAATGGGAAAATAAATGGGTACCCTTCATTAATTCTTCATATTATTTTTATTAATCGTCTGAATTCTTATTAACACATACGACCGAATTCTACATAGATTTACCTTTCTGGTGGTATTAAAAAATCCAGTTTATCTTATCTCATTGTTAGGTCTCCGATTTTTTGAAATTTCATTATCTAAATTCCCTTACTCACATCAGTAAATATCGATGAATTACCTCAAAATAAACGAGACAGCAGTAACTAAAAAAATTGAAGCACACTTAATATGCGGAGGAAATACTATTAACACATACTGTTCAATACTCCTGTCAATAAGCTATATTTTGATGTCAGAAAAGTCAGTTTAAATTAAGAAATTCTTAGGTCTCCGGCGTTTTGAAAAGTTGTCTTTGAAAAAAAATAACAAACACAAATGTAATATACGAAAACAACATGCATTAGCGAGATCATATTGTTATACAAGTAAAATAAATTCCGGTTATTCTTAAATAAATGAAATGATACATAATAAGTTCAAATTCAAAGTGTTCACTGCGGCTATTTTTTATTGTTCAAATAGAAACGATAAATATTGAATACAAAATAAAATTATATTTAATTATATTAAATTGTATTCGTCGGGATAACTCATCTGTTCAAAGGACATAATGGAGTTTTACTGTAACTAAGGGTTCTTGTTCATGATAGTTCATAGTTCGTATACTTTCATATAATAGAGACTATAAAGATATTTTTTTATTCATATTTGGTGAAAAGTATTTAATGATAAATGATAAAGTATACATTTACATTTAAATAATAATAAACGATTCGCTGTTCAATTTTTTTTTTTTCACCCGTAAAACATTTTTCCATCATTTGTATTTCGATAATATTTAAAGAAAATGAAAAGGTGGTGTATTAAAAAATTTCGAAATTGATATATTGTCAAAAGAATTTTATTATCAGCAGGCACCCTGTCGCTTGATTGTCTTTCCTATCTCCAATTACGATGTCTTATATATGCTCAACAGGATGCCACTGTTTGTTTTATTAAATTGAATCTGATACAATACAACTAGTGTTAATTGGTGACATATGTCCATGTAATGAATGTATGCACGGATTGTTGTGGAAGTATCATCCTGTAATGACATTACATCAATGTGGTGGAACTATTTAAACAAATTTGAGAACTCGAAAACTAATGCAAAAAATCTTTCAAATCACTCTTTTTTAGACAAACTATGAATCGCATAAATGAGCTTTGATTTAGGGACGACATCAAAAGATCAATGTAGGATAAAAAAAACTTAATTCAAATAGTATGGGGGTGGGGTGGGGTGGGGTGGGGGGGGGGGGGGGTAGTTTGGGGATGGAAAGGGGGGGGGGGGTTGAAATTGCGGCAAATTTTGATTATTTTACATATATCTGTATTGGTCAATCAATTTTTCCAACATTAAGTTAAGAGGGGGTGGGGTCAGTCAAAAAACTATATGAATTAAGTTTGTTTATCCTAGTACATTGAACTTTTGATGTCGTCCCTTATTGTCCTGTGAATTTTTATCCGTGACTTAATTCAGGCAAATTTTCTACCTTTCTTGCACTGTTGAAAATAAGGACAGAGGGACATCAGATATAATACTGTTAGTATTAAATCACACTGATAGCAGTTAGAAAATTTTAGATAAGTGAAAATAAGTTGAAATATGAAAGAAAACTTTCAAATAAGAGTTACTCCTAAACACACATAAAAAGGGAGACCCACTATAAAAGCGCTTGCGACCTAACTCGCTTCATGATGATGTCTTTAGTTACTACAATTGATAAATCTTCACTTATCAATCAGAGAGAGAGCTCTACTTTTCAATATCAATAAAAATATATTTTAACTGTTGAATGACTTATTCTTCAATTATTTAGTCTTAGAATTTAAATCTTTAATTTTCACCAATTGTCTAAATTTGATTTATTGAACCTTTTGTCTGCTACGCCTTACCTAACTAAAGATGGTTGAGATATGTTTAGCCGTTTTTACATAAAACATTTAAAAAATGAAAAACATCTTGCTTGTAAGTTATTTCTTCAAAGACATATATAGCATCATCTTAAAGCAAACTTATTTGTCCAAGGCATAAATGAATGATTGTACTGAAATGAATGAATATATATAGCCTATTGTTGCGAAAGCTGGACAAACTTGTGTTTGCTGGTGTTAATATGTTTATAAAAAACACAGCTGATATTATGTCATATAATTTCATTACTAATGGTGATTAAACTGCAATAAGCCACGGTTCGGTACCAATTTCGTCGTCAGCTCTGTTGCATAAGGACAAATGAAAATATCAAATTTCTTGGTAACAAGGATGTCATATAACCTCCTAGATGGTATTTTTTTAAGATATATGAACATCAAAACTCATGAGATACATTTTATCAGAGACATATATGTCTCTGGTTTTATGACTGTTTGTTAAAAAATGTCAATCAAGATCAATTAACATAAAATATGGATTTTTGCCCTAATTTTTCAAAATAATTTCCCTTTCGTACATTGATTTTTAATCTCGACGCGGTTTTGGTCTCAATATCATAGTCCTTTAAAAGACCACTAACTCAAGTATCGTAATTTACAACTCCCATGAAGACGCTAATTAATTTTTATCAGAGACATGTAACAAGATTAGTAAATGCAACGACATCTATTGGAAGGAGTTAAGAGTTATCGTTAATTATCTACTGTCCAATATAGACAGATTGGGTTATCTCGCTTGGAAATGTGACATATTCTTGCACATGTTCCCGTAAACTTTGACATCATATTTCAAAACATTTGACGTCACAATTAAAAAGTGATTGTTGCCTGACGTCAAAAGGTGATTCGGAGTAGATCTAATGCCATTCGGAGGCAAAATATAGCTAAATACCAAAAGTGTAAATACGGTTATTATGCCGGTGCCGACAATTAAATAGCCACTGCCAAATAATAAATCAGACCATTGAGTGTCATCTTTGTCATGCTGGGTTATTTTTATGGCTTACTATAGGATACAGGTTTTGCTCATTGTTGAAGACCGTACAGTGACATATAGTTGCTCACGATCGATGATCAACGTCCTGGTGTTTTCAAGTCTTGCTAAAACTTGGAGCCTCTAGTTTATTTACACCGAGTAACTTCCCCCAACGATGCGTGCGCAGTTTTAAGAATATTAGCGTGGTAAGGAAAGTTAATTAAGAAAATTTACTTTTAAATATGCACATAACCCTGCTATTAGACAACTCTAACCAAAATATCTGACGAAAATTGATTAACCCAATTTTTAATAGATTTTAATCACTTTTCATCTTTGGACATATGAAAGTAGAAATAAACATAAAACTAACGACGTCTTGACTCGGAGACAGACAAAGGGCACACTGTTAAATTATGTCTGTTTAATGTATAATTATATGCAAGAAATCTTCTTTTTGAAAAGCAATAAATCAAACCATTAGTTTTCTGAAAGCATAGGGGATAGAAAACACGGAATTAGCGTTATTTAAAAAGGTAGTGTGAAATTATCTGCAGTTGAAAATGATAGCTTTGATGCGTAGATAACAAATTATCTCCCTTTATTTTTTTTGACGAACATTTCTATTTTCATTTTTGATAATTTGGAAATGCAATCTAAAATTTGGCAGACACAAGAAAGAATCATCATAACCATTTGGGGAAAAAGTACTGCTTTTAATAACCTCCTGTTTATCTTCATTTTTTTTTGCAAATATGACTTGCACTGCAGTGTTAAGGTTCATCATAACAAATGGACAAATATGGCCGTATTTTCACCTCAAAAACTACTCTGTGTACAGACTTACCTGTGCAGTTTGGAAAGTTTTAAGGCCTGGCATCCACTAGATATATAAAAGTTCAATCTATTTTGCATATCAGAAAGATAAAATCTTTTTTTGAATATGATGGGCATTTTTTTTCCTTCCTGCAGAAGGTGTAAAAATAAACAAACACCTGAATTGCATTTGATACTGTCCACTCAGTTACTACCTTTAACTCACCTATAGATGTGTAGCTATCTATTGTCCATGCCAATCAAGGACAATCAATACAATACAAATCAGTTGTTACCTGAGATGGAGCATCTCAAAGTTATATCCCAACTTAGTTTATTTTTACACCTTCAGCAAAAACGGAAAAAAATGCCCATCCTAATCCAAAAAAGATTTTATATTTCTGATATTCAAAATAAATTTAACTTTTATACATCTAGTGGATGCCAGGCCTTAAAACTTTCCAAACTGCACAGGTAAGCCTGTACACAGAGTAGTTTTTGAGGTGAAAATACGGCCATATTTGTCCATTTGTTATGATGAACCTTAACACCTATACCACTATAAAAAAATTGAGGTATTCCTGTAACAGTGTGGACAACTGTATTACTTTTGTTGTTCATACTACTGAATCATTTACCTTTAACTTGTTTTTTGTCGGCTATTGGTAACAATGATTTTACGCTCGCACAGTCTGACAGAGTCCCTCCAGTGGGGATTTAGAAAAACACTTGTTACACATTTCAATACATAAAGTGAAATTGTTGATCAAAACAAAAAAAAAACATGTAAAGAACGTTTAAGTATTCAATATTAATCAAAACACAAAGGTTATTCCTTTACTAGTTTTTCGAATTATTTGAGTTGGGCGTTGAGAACCTTTGGTGACGTCTTTAATAAATACGACGTGGTAAGTGGGCGTTACATATGAACCTTCACCTAATTTAACCCAGTCAATGGGAGAGTTGAGCCCGCCTAAAAATGGTCTCGTCCACACTGTTATGAAAATTATACTATTCACATTACTGGTCCAATACCAGCAGGGCTCACACTACTTCAGAATCATAGGGAGAAGTGACTTCTCTTTTTGAAACTGATAGGGAGAAGTGGTGAGATTTGAAAGAGAAGTGCACCTTCGTGCGCTGCGCTACAATGTTTTGATTTTACTATAGTATAAAGGGTCATATGTAAATAATGTTCTTTTTATATGACCGCAAAAAAAATTTTGTGGTCGTATATTGGTATGACGTTGGCGTCGTCGACGTCGTCGTCTTCGTCCGGCGTCGTCCGAAGACACATTGGTTTTCGCACTCTAACTTTAGTTTAAGTGAATGGATCTCTATAAAATTTTACCACAAGGTTCAATACCACAAAAGGAAGGTTGGGATTGATGATGGGGGTAATTGCCTCTTTGGGGGTTATGGTACCAACAGTAAAGGAATAAGGGGCCAAAAGGGGCCAAAAATAAGCATTTTTGTAACTTCCAGACATAACTTGTGTGTTAGTGTATGGATCTCTCTGACATTGTACCACAAGGTTCCATATCACAAAAGGAATGCTGGGATTGATTTTGGGGGTAATTGCCTCAAAATTTTAGGAATTAGGGGCCAAAAAAGGGGCAAAAAACAAGCATTTTTCTAGTTTCATGACAATAACTTGTGTGTAATTGTATGGATCTTTCTGAAATTGTACTACAAGGTTCCATATCACAAAGGGAAAGCTGGAATTGAGTTTGGGGGTAATTGCCGAAACGTTTAGGAATTTGGGCCAAAAATAAGCATTTTTCTAGTTTCCAGACAATAACTTGTGTTCAAGTGTATAGATCTCTCTGAAATTGTACTGCAAGGTACCATACCACAAAGGAAAGGCTGGGATTGATGATGGGGGTAATTGCCTCAATATTTTAGGAATTAGGGGCCAAAAAGGGGCAAAAAACAAGCATTTTTCTAGTTTCAGGACAATAACTTGTGTGTAAGTGTATGGATCTTTCTGATAGTGCTACAAGGTTCCATATCACAAAGGGAAAGCTGGGTTTGAGTTTGGGGGTAATTGCTCTAAACGTTTAGGAATTTGGGGCCAAAAAACACATTTTTCTAGTTTCCAGACAATAACTTGTGTTCAAGTGTATGGATCTCTCTGAAATTGTACTGCAAAGTACCATACCACAAAGGGAAGGCTTGGATTGAGTTTGGGGGTGATGAATCATAAGGGGGTTCAAAAAATTTGGGGGGGGGGATTTTTTGTTTTGTTTTCCTTTTTTTTTTCTTTTAAAATTTTCCATTTTAAGTTGGTTATTTCTGATTTATATTTTAAAGCAAATAATAATGATATGGTAGGAGATACACACCAAACAGGATGTGCAAATTTTTATATAATAAGTATTGTGCAATAGCAAGAAATTTTCAATTGCACAGTATTGCACAATAGCAAGAAATCTTCAATTGCACAGTATTGCGCAATAGCAAGAAATCTTCAATTGCACAGTATTGAGCAATAGCAAGAAATATCCAATAGCACAATATTGCGCAATAGCAAGAAATTGTCAATTGTGCAGTATTGCGCAATAAGAAATATTCAATTGCACAGTATTGTGCAAAAGAAGATACTTCCTATAAATTGCTTATTTCTTGACCAATTTCAATGGGGTTTTATTCTTGAATTTTTGGGGTTCTTTAATATGCTGAATCTAACCGTGTATTAAGTTTTTGGATTTTGGGCCCCGTTTTTAAATTGGTCCACATTGAGGTCCAAAGGGTCCAAAATTAAACTTTGTTTGATTTCATCAAAAATTGAATTATTGGGGTTCTTTGATATGCCGAATCTAACCGTGTATTTAGATTCTTAATTTTTGGTTCTGTTTTCAAATTGGTCTACATTAAAGTCCAAAGGGTCCAAAATTAAACTTAGTTTGATTTTAACAAAAATTGAATTCTTAGGGTTCTTTGATATGCTGAATCTAAACATGTATTTAGATTTTTGATTATGGGCCCAGTTTTCAAGTTGGTCCAAATCGGGGTCCAAAATTAAACTTTGTTTGATTTCAACAAAAATTGAATATATGGGGTTCTTTGATATGCTGAATCTAACCATGTATTAAGATTTTTGATTTTTGGGCCCCGTTATCAACTTTGTCCACATTGAGGTCAAAAGGGTCCAAAATTAAACTTTGTTTGATTTCATCAAAAATTGAATTCTTGGGATTCTTTGATATGCTGAATCTAACCATGTATTTAGATTTTGGATATTGGACCATAATAGGTGAAATTTTTAAGTTCTTAGACCACATTCATTCTGTGTCAGAAACCTATGTTGTGTCAAATATTTAATCACAATCCAAATGCAAAGCTGTATCAAGCTTGAATGTTGTGTCCATACTTGCCCCAACTGTTCAGGGTTCGACCTCTGCGGTCGTATCAAGCTGCGCCCTGCGGAGCATTTTATTATATTGTTCAATTCATATCTGAGTATACAATTAAATTACATGTAACAGTTCAAATTCAAAGTTGTTTAAGTTTAGGTTCTTGTGAGAAACTACCAACTAAATATCTAGCACTAAAAAGAATTTTTTTTATGTCAAAAAGGTAAAGAAATTATAATATATGAATTACAATTCAGTTAAAAACTATCTTGTTTATCATGTTTATGAAATTCAGTGTTTCTCATCAAAAGATATACAAAGTTAAGCTGGGCCATAATATATTGATACTGAGACTACTATGTGTTATAGTAGTCTCAGATTGATATTTAATAGTAGTTAAGCAATTTTAATCAATAATTTGAAACAATCCATATAAATTATATGGAATTATATACATTAATCAATTAGTTCTAACCAAAAGTCTTTTAATGTGTGTGGAATGCGTAATTTTTCCTTTTGGGATCAATATTCTTCTGTCAGCTGTTCCATTCATGCGTCTGTAGTTATTATTGTAAAAATACTGATTTCGGTCATAGCTGGTCCGGTTCCGATCCGTAGTTAGTTAACGGTTAATGGCGGACAAAGAAAATTTACAAAAATAAACGATGTTTGACAAGCTATTTGGAAAGGAACAGACCAACCCAAACATCGTCGGACCGCAGGTCTGCCACCATCCTGTGAACTACAGGACCTCCTGTCCTGTACATTTTTTGCAGCATGCAATATTAAAATTGGGAAAAATGTGCTGCTATATCAAACACAAAATATTGTTTTCCTCCCGAGATCAATGAAAAACAATTGTCCTTATATTAATTAGGATCGCGGAAATACCCTAGTCATATTTATAGAGATATATATGGGCAACACAAATAGTAACCCAATCAGAATGCAATAATATAAAAAGCAGCCAATGAAATCATGCTTCCATTGACACGCGGTGAGATTTTCTTGTCAACTATTTTATGCATTCCCTGAATGGCATTTCTAATGCGACTTCTTTTTTTTAAAAACATATTATAAGACGATTTTAAGGCTCACTGGCTTGTCCCCTACTGCTAAAACCCTTTCAATTTGAATATTTTGAAGATTTGTATCTCGATTGTCATGTCCGCTGCGTCAGTTTCTGGCATTTCTTTTTTCCCCGGTTCATTACGCATGCGCCGGAAACACATGTTGTAAACAATAACATGAGTTTCCTCCGTTTTTATGATGGTGCCGTACCTGGTCAAAAACGGAAGGCCGATGATGAAAGTACAGGATGAATCCATGAACTCAAATAAAATACTAGATTATGCCAAAGAGGAATAAATTTAGATAAAGTCTTAAAAAATGAAGTTTTATTCAATGTGATTAAACATGCAAAAGTGTAGTACAAGATAGTAGTTTTGGTTACTTCATTTATCATAGTCAAAGCACTCAGAATGCAGGATTTTGCACCTAATTTTTCAAAAATTTTATGGGGGGCATGCCCCCAGACCCCCCTAGCAAGTTCGCAGCGCTTTGCGCTGCTCACCAGTGATAATAAGTAGGTCCTGTAACAGCAATGAAGGTCCAGTAAAAAATATTTGTTACTGGACCTCCTGACCTGTTAAAACAATTTAAGTTTGGCTGGGTCTGAAGGAATATGACGTTTTTAATGCAATAAATGGATTAAACATTTACTGCAGGCAACTTTTATCACTTTCAAATGAAGTAACAAACTTAATTTCCCGCCGAAAGTTAGATTGATGTACGCTCTCCGAGTAACAAGTACCAGAAGTGCATGCAGTGATAAAAAGTTGTCTTTTTATTAAATAACCTGCTACACACTGTAAAGTCAATGCTTAAACCTCTTTTCTTAAGAAAATGAATCGTTTATTTCTGAATTTCTTTAATAATCAATAAAAAGTTGATGTTTTATCAACTTGGTAAAAATTGAAAATGTCCGATGACGAAAGCGACTGAAAGCGAGTATCGTAAACAACAGGGCGACTTGTTTTCGCTTTTGAGGGTCGGGCAAAGCGAAGTGACGGACGGGAAAGCGACTTCTTCGCCCTAGTTCCTGGTAGCATGAGCCCTGGTACCAGTTACTGTAAAAATTCACAGTTTTTCACAAATATTCTTGAACAGGAATTCCTTGTGGAATTATTTTTGTAACTTGTAACGGTTTACAAAAAGTTAGTTCTAGCACCATAGACTTGGACTTCAAATCCTCTTATAACTAATGTAAAGCAGGGTACTGTAGTATTGATTGTGCATGAAATTTTACGAGAACAAGGACCCATTACCGTCACTTCTGAATCTTGCTAGTAAATAACAGAAAATTTCGCGTACTCTGAACATTAGTTTCATATTTTGATATTCTGTGGTAAGAAGAGAAGGTTGCATGTCAAATAAACCAAATCTCAAAATGTATAAAGAAGTTACAAGCTTATACAAACTTCCCAAATTTGCCATTTTCAAGTCAAATAACTTTTTTAACCCAAATTTATAGATGTTATTTTGTTCTTTAGGACAGATCATTCCATTTTCTGTGAATTTGTGGTATTTTACAAGTAATTCATTTGTTATTGTAAAAAAATAGATAAGCAAAGGATATGGGGTATCCATCCATGGCACAAAATCAGTACATGCACAGCAAAAAAACTCAAATTTTGAACTTTAATAAATTCATTAATTAGTGTATTGTTAGGCCAAAATAAATATGTCTGTTTAAGGTTGCATAAAAAAAAAGGGTAGGTAAGTTGTTATTACTATTTTATTATTTTTTGTCATTTTATTTTTTGCAACATGATTTTGAGTCGTGCTATATATACAATGTATTTTCCAGAGGTCTGAGGTTATCTATGGGATGAGTTAACCCGTGTTTTTATACGACCGCAAAAAAATTTTTGTGGTCGTATATTGGTATGACGTTGGCGTCGTCGTCGTCCCGCGTCGTCGTCCGAAGACGCATTAGTTTTCGCACTCTAACTTTAGTTTAAGTGAATGGATCTCTATGAAATTTTACCATAAGGTTCAATACAACAAAAGGAAGGTGGGGATTGATTTTGGGGGTTATGGTATCAACAGTTAAGGAATTAGGGGCCAAAAAGGGGCCAAAAATAAGCATTTTCTAGTTTCCAGACAATAACTGTGGAACGGTGTATGGATCTCTCTGAAATTATACTACAAGTTTCCATACCACAAAGGGATGGTTAGGATTTGCTTTGGGGGGTTATGGCTCAAACCGTTTAAGAATTAGGGGCAAAAAAGGGGGAAAAACAAGGTTGTCCTGGTTAATGGACAAATACTTTAGTACAAAACATAATTTAAAGCAGTGTAAGGGAGATAAATCAAATACATCATTGAAATTATCTCCCTTACACTGCTTTTAAATTATGTATAAAGTAATGGTTAATGAACAATTAAGATAATTTAAAACAGTGTAAGGGAGGTAATCCAAATACAACGTTTTGGTTACTTCCCTTACACTGCTTTTAAATTATGTTTAAAGAAATGCATATTTATAAAGGAAGACCAGTAAAAATATCTGCAAATGTTGCATCTTTTTTTTTTACAAAAAAATCCATATGAAAGATTTGACACTATATTTTAAATTCTATTATAAAATAGATTAAGTTAGCACTATGGTAAATTTAAATGGGTAATTATGGTTTGGGGGAAAAAAAGGGGGGGGGGGGGGGGGGGGTAAAAAGAAATTGTGGGGGGTCAATTTTTTCTCATTTCAGATTTCAGAAATTAAAAAGAATTATTCTTCAAATATTATTTTTTTTTCAAATTTCAAATATTGAAAAATTTCAAGAAGTAATCTTTAATTGCACAGTATGGCGCATTAGATTTGTAAAATCTTTTACCACATTTATTTATTTGTTATGCCGAATCTAACCGTGTATTTAGATTTTTAATTTTGGATCCAGTTTTCAAATTGGTCTACATTAAGGTCCAAAGGGTCCAAAATTAAACTTTGTTTGATTTTAACAAAAATTGAATATATGGGGTTCTTTGATATGCTGAATCTAAACATGTATTTAGATTTTTGATTTTTGGCCCAGTTTTCAAGTTGGTCCAAATTGGGGTCCAAAATTAAACTTTGTTTGATTTCAACAAAAATTGAATATATGGGGTTCTTTGATATGCTGAATCTAACCATGTATTTAGATTTTTTATTTGTGGACCCCGCTATCAGATTGGTTCATATTGAGGTCAAAAGGGTCCAAAATTAAACTTTGTTTGATTTCATCAAAAATTGAATTATTGGGGTTCTTTGATATGCCAAATCTAACCGTGTATTTAGATTTTTAATTTTGGGTCCCGTTTTTTAAATTGGTCTACATTAAGGTCCAAAGGGTCCAAAATTAAACTTAGTTTGATTTTAACAAAAATTGAATTCTTGGGGTTCTTTGATATGCTGAATCTAAACATGTGTTTAGATTTTTGATTATGGGCCCAGTTTTCAAGTTGGTCCAAGTTGGGGTCCAAAATTAAACTTTGTTTGATTTCAACAAAAATTGAATATATGGGGTTCTTTGATATGCTGAATCTAAACATGTATTTAGATTTTAGATTTTTGGCCCAGTTTTCAAGTTGGTCCAAATTGGGGTCCAAAATTAAACTTTGTTTGATTTCAACAAAAATTGAATATATGGGGTTCTTTGATATGCTGAATCTTACCATGAATTTAGATTTTTTATTTTGTGGGCCCGCTATCAAATAGGTTCATATTGAGGTCAAAAGGGTCCAAAATTAAACTTTGTTTGATTTCATCAAAAATTGAATTATTGGGGTTCTTTGATATGCCAAATCTAACCGTGTTTTTAGATTTTTAATTTTGGGTCCCGTTTTTTAAATTGGTCTACATTAAGGTCCAAAGGGTCCAAAATTAAACTTAGTTTGATTTTAACAAAAATTGAATTCTTGGGGTTCTTTGATATGCTGAATCTAAACGTGTTTAGATTTTTGATTATGGGACCAGTTTTCAAGTTTGTCCAAGTTGGGGTCCAAAATTAAACTTTGTTCGATTTCAACAAAAATTGAATATATGGGGTTCTTTGATATGCTGAATCTAACCATGTATTTTGATTTTGGACATTGGACCATAATAGGTAAATTAAAAAAATTGAAGTTCTTAGACCACATTCTTTCTGTGTCAGAAACCTATGCTGTGTCAAATATTTAATCACAATCCAAATTCAGAGCTGTATCAAGCTTGAATGTTGTGTCCATACTTGCCCCAACTGTTCAGGGTTCGACCTCTGCGGTCGTATCAAGCTGCGCCCAGCAAAGCATTTTATTTAAATTGGTCTACATTAAGGTCCAAAGGGTCCAAAATTAAACTTAGTTTGATTTTAACAAAAATTGAATTTTTGGGGTTCTTTGATATGCTGAATCTAAACATGTGTTTAGATTTTTGATTATGGGCCCAGTTTTCAAGTTGGTCCAAGTTGGGGTCCAAAATTAAACTTTGTTTGATTTCAACAAAAATTGAATATATGGGGTTCTTTGATATGCTGAATCTAAACATGTATTTAGATTTTAGATTTTTGGCCCAGTTTTCAAGTTGGTCCAAACTGGGGTCCAAAATAAAACTTTGTTTGATTTCAACAAAAATTGAATATATGGGGTTCTTTGATATGCTGAATCTTACCATGTATTTAGATTTTTTATTTGTGGGCCCGCTATCAAATTGGTTCATATTGAGGTCAAAAGGGTCCAAAATTAAACTTTGTTTGATTTCATCAAAAATTGAATTATTGGGGTTCTTTGATATGCCAAATCTAACCGTGTATTAAGATTTTTAATTTTGGGTCCCGTTTTTTAAATTGGTCTACATTAAGGTCCAAAGGGTCCAAAATTAAACTTAGTTTGATTTTAACAAAAATTGAACTTTTGGGGTTCTTTGATATGCTGAATCTAAACATGTGTTTAGATTTTTGATTATGGGCCCAGTTTTCAAGTTGGTCCAAGTTGGGGTCCAAAATTAAACTTTGTTTGATTTCAACAAAAATTGAATATATGGGGTTCTTTGATATGCTGAATCTAAACATGTATTTAGATTTTAGATTTTTGGCCCAGTTTTCAAGTTGGTCCAAATTGGGGTCCAAAATTAAACTTTGTTTGATTTCAACAAAAATTGAATATATGGGGTTCTTTGATATGCTGAATCTAAACATGTATTTAGATTTTAGATTTTTGGCCCAGTTTTCAAGTTGGTCCAAATTGGGGTCCAAAATTAAACTTTGTTTGATTTCAACAAAAATTGAATATATGGGGTTCTTTGATATGATGAATCTAACCATGTATTTTGATTTTGGACATTGGACCATAATAGGTAAATTAAAAAAATTGAAGTTCTTAGACCACATTCTTTCTGTGTCAGAAACCTATGCTGTGTCAAATATTAAAACACAATCCAAATTCAGAGCTGTATCAAGCTTGAATGTTGTGTCCATACTTGCCCCAACTGTTCAGGGTTCGACCTCTGCGGTCGTATCAAGCTGCGCCCAGCGAAGCATTTTATTAATATTTGGAGTATTTCCCTTGGTTATTGGTTGGAAAAAACAAGTACTTGTATTTAAAATATATATTACAATTGAAGCTACATGTTTTATTATATTTTTTTTCAGATAAAATAATTTCAAAATGCCGCCACAAATATCAACAAAGATTTACATTGGTAATTTACCAGAAACATGTCGAAGAGTGGAACTTCAAAAGATGTTTGAACTTTATGGAAAAGTTATTGAATGTGACATAGTTAGAAACTATGCCTTTGTAGTAAGTTAAATTATTATTATGCCCAGTAGGCTTTAGAATTGAGAATGGAAACAGGGAATGTCTCATAGAGACAACAACCTGACCAAAGAGCAGGAAACAGCACAAGGCCACCAATGTCGAATGGGTCGTCAATACAGCACGAAAATGCTGCACCCAGAGGCAGGCTTCAACTGGCCCCTAAAAAATAATGTATACTAGTTCAGTGAAATGGATGCCACACTAAACTTCGAAAGATATAAATGAACCAAAATTAAAAAACACACAAGACTAACAAAGGCCAGAGGTTCCTGAATTGGGACAGGTGCAAAAAAGGGTGGGGTTAAACATGTTTTGTGAGATCTCAACCCTTCCCCTATACTTCTAGACAATGTCGAATAAACATTGAACAAACAGCAATACGCACAGTAAAACTCGGTTTAAAAAAGGTCTAAGTCTAATATTAGAATAGGCAACAGAAGAAATTAAGCAAAAGGACAGTGATCAACATATATAAACAAAGCACTACAAGCAGTTACTGACATGCCAGCTCCAGACCTCAATTAAACTGATTGAAAGATTAAACCAGGCTAGGAGTTTAGTATCATGCCATCATAAATTATTAGAGAAGGACATAACCTGTATCTTGCCGACAACTGGTTTTAGAATATGCAGTTGTATTAGCATTGGCATATCTCATCTCCATTGAGATTATTTTGCCCTGCCTCCTCAGTCATGGTTTATTGACTTAGGAACTTTTGCTTAGTTTACATGTTTTAGTTTGTTATTAAGTCAGTTTAAAGGGAATGACAAGTGGTAGCTTAATGATATTTGGTATGCACAGCAGTTGTATTGGCATTAGCAAATCTTGTTTCCATGGAGGTTATTTGGCCCTGCGCCTTCAGTCATGGTTCATTCACTTGAATGTTTTGCATAGTTTAATTGTTTAAGTATAGCTATTTTAATTTTAACATCTGCATCATACTATCAAAATTACATGTTTCTCTGTATCATACTGTATGTACAGTTTTTATGACTTAATTGCAAAGTACATTAGATTAAAAATTATGTAAATGTATCTAATGACATGCCAGGTTTGTACATGTAAATTGTGTGATTGAATGGTGTTTAACGTCACTTTCAGCACTATTGTGCTGTTTTGTGACGGTCAGTTTTTATTGGTGCCGGAAGCTGGAATGCCCAAAGAGAACCACCCCCCTTGTACATCATGTACATGTACAGAAATGTATATCAGGTGATAAGAAAATGGCTTGTGGTCTTGTCTCTTAAGCCTGCATTCCAAATTTCTTCAGTGCTTAATTCCAGGCTGTTAATTTTATTCTTTCAGTAACATTATGTTGTTCACAAAAATATGTTTTTACTTTTTCATAAAAATCTCTGGCTATTAACCAATTATAAATATGCATGGCTTTTTATACGCCCGTTTACGGGACGTATTATGGCATACCGTTGTCCGTCCGTCCGTCCGTCCGTCTGTCCGTCGTCAACATGTCGGACAATAACTCAAAAATGCTTTAACCAATTTGCATAAAACTTTAGTGAATTGTTTATATCTATTGACGTGAGCTCCCTTTCGTTTTTTATAAAATTTAGATTTTACGTTTCCGAATTATGGGGTTTTATTCATTAAAAAAAGGGGGATTTTCCAGTTTTCGGACAATGAGTCAAGAATGCTTTCACCAACTTGCAAGAAATTGTGGTGAATTGTTTATAACTATTGACATGAGCTCGCTTTCAATTTTTATAAATTTTAGATTTTACGTTTCCGAGTTATTGGGTTTTATTCATAAAAAAAGGGGGGATTTTCCAGTTTTCGGACAAAAACTCAAAAATGCTTTCAGCATGGCATACCGTTGTCCGTCTGTCCGTCCGTCCGTCCGTCCGTCTGTCCGTCCGTCTGTCCGTCGTCAACATGTCGGACAATAACTCAAAAATGCTTTAACCAATTTGCATAAAACGTTAGTTAATTGTTTATATCTATTGACGTGAGCTCCCTTTCGTTTTTTATAAAATTTAGATTTTACGTTTCCGAATTATGGGGTTTTATTCATTAAAAAAAGGGGGATTTTCCAGTTTTCGGACAATGAGTCAAGAATGCTTTCACCAACTTGCAAGAAATTGTGGTGAATTGTTTATATCTATTGACATGAGCTCGCTTTCAATTTTTATAAATTTTAGATTTTACGTTTCCGAGTTATTGGGTTTTATTCATAAAAAAAGGGGGGATTTTCCAGTTTTCGGACAAAAACTCAAAAATGCTTTCAGCAATTCTTATGAAACTTTGGTGAATTGTTTGTATGTATTGATGTAAGCTCCCTTTAGAATTTTATAAATTTTACATTTTACATTTTTGAGTTATGGGGTTTTATTCATTAAAAAAGGGGGGATTTTCCAGTTTTCGGACAATAACTCAAAAATGCTGTCACCAATTCTCATGAAACGTTGGTGAATTGTTTATATCTATTGATGTAAGCTCCCTTTTTATTTTGATACATTTCTAATATGACATTGAGAATTTATTGAACTTTATTTGTTTATAGTCTGACAACAGATTTACTAAGTATTGCACAACAGCAAGAAATCTTTAATTGAATATAAATTCAATTCATATAACCAATTTCAAGTTCTTTGACTACATTTATTCAGAAACCTATAATATGTCAAATATTTAATAACAATCCAAATTCAGACCTGAATCAAGCTTGAATATTGTGTCCATTTTTGCCCCAACTGTTCAGGGTTGGACCTCTGCGGGCGTATCCAGCTGCGCTCAGCGAAGCAGTTTATTCTTATCAGGATTTATAGCCAAATGTCCCAAATATTCCTATTGCAAAAATGTTTGACTTGAATTTGTCTAAAGAAACTACTACTGGAAGTGTTTTACGACCTTGACTGGATATACATCCCTCGCACGGTCGGTAAAGAAGATAGATTCATAATCTTTTTATGCCCCCACCGTAGCGGAGGGGGCATTAAGTTTTACCCTTGTCCGTCTGTACGTACGTACATCCGTATGTCCTAAAATTGGTTTCGGTTCTCTAACTTGAGTTTGCCTCAACCAAATGTTATGAAACTTATACATAATGCTTATTACCACAAAATACAGATCAAGTTTGAATTTAAGTGGTGTCACTTTAACCGTTCTAGAGTTATGCCCCTTTATAAATTGAAAAATTGCAAAATTTATAGTTTCCGTTCTTTAACTTAAGTTTGTCTCAACCAAATATTATGAAACTTATACACAATTGTTATTACCACAAAAAAACAGATCAAGTTTGAATTTTGGTAGCGTCACTCTAACCGTTCTAGAGTTATGCCCCTTTATCAATGGAAAAATTACAAAATTTTTAGTTTCTGTTTTCTAACTTAAGTTTGCCTCAACTAAATGTTATGAAACTTATACACAATTGTTATTACCACAAAAATACAGATCAAGTTTGAATTTTGGTGGGGTTACTTTAACCGTTCTCGAGTTATGCCCCTTTATAAATGAAAAAAAATGCAAAATTTTTAGTTTCCGTTCTCTTACTTAAGTTGCCTCAACCAAATGTTATGAAACTTATACACAATGCTTTTTACCACAAAATAAAGATCAAGTTTGAATTTTGGTAGGGTCACTTTAACCATTCTCGGGTTATGCCCGTTTATAAATGGAAAAAAATGCAAAATTTTTAGTTTCTGTTCTCTAACTTAAGTTGCCTCAACCAAATGTTATGAAACTTATACACAATGCTTTTTACCACAAAACTCAGATCACGTGCAAAGTTGGGTAGCGTCACTTTTATTGTTCTTAAGTTATGTCCCTTTATAATGTTGTATGGAAGCGGGGGCATCATCTGTGTCTATGGGGACACATTCTCCATTTATTTTCTCTTAAATGCATTTTAAATTTCATCAAAAGATTGTTTTGTGTTTTGATCGTTATTATTGATAATCTATTTATTTGTCACTAAATTTGAAACATCCATTTCAATTTTGAGTGGCTTCTAGTTCCTTTGCCATGGAACGGTCATAGTAGATCCAAGCTGACTAAAGAGGGTCCACTAGAGATTTAATTTCTATTTTACAACACCATGCCATATAACAGTATTTCCCGGTTTTGAATATTAGAAAAAAATGAACCATGACAGACTCATAATGGCAATCATTACATAAAAAAAAAAAATAAAAATAGAAGCTTAGATTTTTTTACTCACTTCTTCTAATCACCTATAAATGAAAATGCTACAACGTATGTGGCTGCATGTGATGCTGGTAGGTCTTACATACATGTAGGCAGGTGATAATTTGACTGAATATAATTAGACTCAAAATAATTAAAATTACAATACCTCATAGCCATTCATTAGCATGATTAGGTTACTTCCACATTCAATTTTGATGTGAACCAATCTGTCAAACATTTACTTGTATTTTAATAAAGTGCTATAGTGATTCACAGTCCGAGGCCTTACTGTAACACTGTACACTTTTGGAAATTTAGAATTTGCAGATCATGTGGTCACTGAAAAACTTGTATTTGAGTTTTATTAAAGCAGGATATCCATACAATGTACCCAACATGATACATATTAGGATAATACTTCAGAATATTCAGTTAGTAATGTAGAAAAATTAATTTGTTAGCATTAGCATATAAAATTGTTTTGATTTGTTTTTTAGCACTTTGAAAATCCAGATGAAGCTAAAATGGCACAAGCAAATTTAGATGGAACAGATTTTGAAGGTTCAAAACTGAAAGTTGAGGTACTTATAACTTTTATCATTAAAATTGTGCTTATGTTAAGAAAATGATTCTGTCATAACCTTAATACAAAATGTATTTATTCTGATCAGCATTATTTCTAGATTACTAGGACAAAGACAATGTAATCTTTTGCAATCACTGTTTACTCGTTGTCTGTCATGCATTCATGGAACTTTTCCTTCTGATTGAGTCCACATGTGACTAGAATTGTTGTTATTTCTCAGTGCCTATGTACCTAGATTAACATGTAAGCTATTTTCCTACAGAAACTACAAATTAACAGACTTAAAGGGAGACAAAATTAATCAATGAATGATTGATTTTTAAGTAGATATTTTAAATTCCTATTGAATAAGCTTCAAAAAGAACAAAAAGTATTTTATTTTTTCAATCGTACTATTTACTTTACAAAAATTTGTCTTTAAGCCCATGCAATAACACATAACTGCCTTGGTCCTAAAGGGTCTGTTTTTTGAGTATTGATCAAAAGTAAATGAAGCTCTCAAAATCATAGCTTAAACTCTGTTTAGGAACATAACTGACATCTTTTTTTTTGTAGTTATCACACAGCAAAGTAAGACAAAAACCAGGTATGGGTGGTAAAGGTGAATGCTACAGATGTGGAAAAGAAGGCCATTGGTATGTAGAAAATTTACACATAAAAATAAGGATATTTGTTATGATTTCTAATGAGACTACTATCCACCAGAGTTAAAGTTACGTGTATCTTGGCCATTATAGGAGACCCTACAGCCTTCAACAATGATAAAAACCCTTAACTTAAATTCGGCTATAAAAGGCCCAAACATGAAAAATGTGAAACCATTGAAATGAGAACTACCTAATTTATAGCAATACAATATATCAATTAGTTCTCACTAAATTTTCTCTTCATGATTTTTATTCATTTATCAAAATACTATTAATAAATTTAGTCTGAAATGGGCTGCTTATTGTCTTTTGGTTTATCCTAAACATTAGATTTGTTTTCTACTTGAGAGAAATATGAATTTAAGTTAAATTCACATGATGTATGTAAGATACAAGAAAAAAAAATACACTTACATAAAAAATGTGTAAAATAATGCTATTGAATAACTAATGTTTTTTGTTTAATTACAGGTCAAAAGATTGTCCCAAGGGTCCGTAAGTATTTAGATACAATGTACAGTGTATTGAGTTAACTTTACTGTAATACATTTAAATAATAAATTGAGCAAAGCTATCTAGTGCAGCATTTGAAAAAAAAAGAAATATATTTGTAGATATTCAAAAAGACCTTTTACATGTAATGAAGTTCTGATTTTATTTGTGACTAGGTGTGAATTTGTATGACATTCATGTGTGTATCAAGTAGAACACACTGCTTTATTATGGTCTGACAAAATAACCATAGAAATGACATTAAAGAAAGTTTCAAACAATGATCAGACAAAATAACAATAGAAATGACATTAAAGAAAGTTTCAAACAATGATCAAACACATAAAATACAATCAAATTGCAATAATAAAGATGCTTTGAATATTAAAAGTAGCAAAAAAAAAAAATGACAGACAAAAAATGAAAACAAGAGTTCTGAAGAAAGGTAAAAATTAGATGTGATTTATATATATGTAAACAGAAATATTGATAAAATTATCTAATTTTGAGAAATTTTAAGACACTATCCACTTTAGCCACCAACAAATTTACAACTATATCAGTAAAGTATTAGTGTTTATAAAAGATTGAACCTTAGAATTGGCTGTTTCATGATTGCGTATAGGATTTCTAACGATAGATCAAGACCTAAAGGAGGAGCACCAATGAGAGACATGTATCCCAGAGATCCTTATCCTAGAGACCCCTATGATGCTTACTACAGAGACAGATACTTGCCTCCTCCACCAATGGACAGATTTGATAGATACAGACCATATCCAGATCCTTATGACAGACGACCTCTGCCTCCTGCAAGGGATCCACGGGATCCATTTATGAGAGAACGAGACCCATACGCAAGACCACCTCCAGAGTATTATGGAGCATCAGGAGGAAGAAGGTCCCCAGTTGCACCGGCACCACTTCCTACAAGGTAGAAATACAAACAAGTATATGTAAATATGCAGTATGAACATGGTGATTCAGTTACCCTTGTTAGTTTTAATAGTGTCACTGAGTTGATATTCAAATTTTCAATGATTCAATCACTCCCAGCAGAAATAGTCCTTTCCATACCACTGTTTGAAGTTAGTAACAGTTGTTATATTATAACACAAACAAACAATAGTAACAGCTTTCGTGATAGTGCTTTTGTCAGTTAATGGAGAAATAAAAAAAGCTTCCCTAAAAGCACTGTTGGAATTGAAATCAGATTTGATCATCATCTTCTTAAGATGTTTCAGATTTGTTCCTTACATTTGACTAATTTCCATTGCAGCCACTTTTCTTAAAATTTGGTGTATTTAATAAAGAATCAATTATAACTATTTACCTTCCAGAACATGTTTGTTTACATTCTTTCATCATAGTTTTTCCCTCTCACTTGCGCTGTGCAATGGCCGAAGTTCTAATGAGAGGTCTAGTACTTAAGGTCACTGCATAAAGAAAAATAACGGTGAATGAGAGTACAGGAAGACAATAATTCAATAGCAGTACATTTAAAAGATTTTGATAAAATAAAGGATTTTATTTTACAAGAAAGTCCATGTACAATTGTTCTATAGTAAAACTTAGCCATTCAATTTCAGTTATTACATGTAAGTTAGTAGATTTTTGTGCTCTTTAGAGTACGTCCAGTTGGATTTCTGCTAGAAAAATGTCCTTAAAAACAATCTTTCAAAATTTTATGGGAAAATATAGAATTTTCTTTGCAGAAAAACTACTGGGTATGCTTCAATCAAATTTATCAGGAAAGGTCTTTTTTATTGTGATTAAATCTCAGCATGTATTGCATGTTATTTAATACTCTTTGGGGGTAAAAATTGCATGAAATTCAATTGAAACCCTATTGTCACTGGTATGAGAGCACAAACAACTTAGTGCAGTGAGGTGAACATTCTTCAGATCCTATCATTGTCCATTTCAAACAATTTATTAATGATATATATTCAGATTTTCAAGTTACAAAATGATCTGCATGTGTATGACCATACTTGTAAAGAAAACTATTTTATTGAAAATGACATAAGTTGTGGATAGTGTATGAATCTATCTATTGTCAAAAATGGTTCAACCAAAATTACAATACATGGACGGCAATAAAAGAAGTGTTCATTTGCTTTTTGTATTTTTTGCTGTGCACATACTGATTTTGTGTCATGGATGGATACACAATATCCTTTCTTTTCTAATATATTAAAGAAATATTACTCCAAATTAAAATATTGCTTCTCATTGCTAAATTAAATACAAAGGTTTAATTTTAATTTCAAATTGCAAAATGAAAAAAAAAGTCACCCTTCTAGCATTTTGATTATGTTAACTTTCTACACACAAAATTATTTTTATTTACAGGGATCCATACTATGACCATTACTATGAAAGACGAACAAAGTAAGTTTATTCTTTTATATCTTTTGATATATTTTTTGTATAGGTTATTGGTTTTAACCTGATAAATTTATTTAAGATGAATCATTTTTTATCAATTGGTCATGTGATGGTTCACATTTAAGTCAGGTTCAATGGTAATTTGAAGTCATTTTAAAAAAATACATGTATTGAATACAGGTATTTGTAATGATTCACATTGAAAGTTTTGTATTATAAATACAGACATAATTCTCTAGTGATGAAAAAAATTACATTATTCAAGGTCATAAGTAGTCATCATGTTGTCCTTGTACATGAACATGAATTTATGTTTGAAAACTGGGAACTTACTTGGAATGTAATTCTCTTAATTTTATGTTGTTGCATTTCATGTCTGCAGAGAAAATTCCATTAGTATTATTTTTCATACAGACAGTCTAATCATTTTAGTAAACTCTAGCTTTGAAATTGAAATTAAAATTTATATTGATTTGAAATATTATTTTATGGATTGAACCATTTGTTAGAAAATTAATGATATTCATTAATATTTTATTTGACATGTTTTCCTATTTGTTAATCGTACAGCTATCCTATTCCACCACCACCGCCGGGAACCACTCGCATGTCGCCACCTAGAAGTCGCATTCCGGCACCATATTGACTGTCGTAGCGGGAGAGAATGCGCGGATGAATGTGATTAAGGAGAAAGACTTGACAGCGGATAATCGTGTATTCATGAAGACGGAAATGGATTAAAGTCGCAATTATTGTAATATATCGCCTTTCATGACATTAATGTAATTATCGTGTTATCAGAAATTTTACACATCTTTTAAATGGAGTGTACATAGAAGTCATTGGTTACATTTTTATGAATTCATATTGTCGCTATGTATCATCGGAATAAATTTGTCTCGTGATTCGAGCTTGTTTTTCTATTTATTAAGTTCGCTTTATATGCTGATTGTTACGTGCTCTACAACAGCAGAGTGTCATTATCGCTAGATGAATATTTAAGCTGTTCCATCGATGGGTGAAGAATTAATTTGTCTGTAAGGATTTTATTGCAACTATCTTACAAAAGGCCATATAAAGTAAATCTTCCATCTCCAGTAAGAGCTATTCCATTAAAATGTATGTGGGAGGGTAGGAAGGGACTTTCAAAATATCCCTACAACCAAGAACCACTTTTGGGATAATTTCACATAATGGTAATGGATGCATACTGAAAAAAGACCCATGACCCACATTCAATAATTAAACTTCCCTTCCTACCCTCCCACATACATTTTAATGGAATAGCCCTTAATTAAGAGAGCTTATAATTTTTTTTATTTTCTGGAATTTTGATTCTATGTCTTTCTAGCGGACATCAATGAATTTGATATTTGCATTCATTTTCATTTGAAACGTGTCTTGTTTACATGCATCATTTCTCAATATTTTAAATTATTTTCATCATATTACAATGGTGGTGACAATAGCAAATCATAGCATTATAATGGAATGTCTTCAAATAATAATCATTGTAAATTAATATTGCAAGTGGAAAAAACTGAAATAGTAATGTTCTTGTCACCCCTATTTAGAGTTGAATGAGAATCCTATAAAATGTTAACTTGGCTGAAATGTGAAATTTGGTTGATTTTTTTTATTCTTTATAATGTTAATCCAAAAGACAACTATTCATTTATTTTTTAACATAATTAATTATTTTAATTAACATTATTCCATGAGCAACAGCAAGAATGTGTGTAGCTTTCGATTAAGGTGATGTTGTACAATCATTACATACATGTAATTTATTTTCATATCCATTAGTCCACAATAAATTCATTGATATATTTTTATTTCATGTGCATAATTTTTCAGGCAGTCAAAAAGAATATATTTAGATAAATCATATTTTATTTAAGTAGCCAAGTTTTCAACCTTGATTTAAAATAAAAGAAGAGAACAATTAATTCATTGTGGCCCTATTTCATTGGAAGTCATGATCATGTTCATATCAAAAATCATTGAATACAAAACACAAAAAAAACTATTTCGAGAGATTTGGTTATTATTAACTTGTGTGTCTGTGTTTTAATGACCAGATTGGTTTTCCTTTGTCATGTTTTTGTTAGGTCAGTGTTTATATTCTTGGATTGCTAAAGTAGTAAGTGTGCTTATTATGCTGGAAAAAAGATTCATGGCTGGCAGAATGCCAAAAGCCTTATTGAAGATGTCTGCAAAATTAACCAATAAATAAGAATTAAAACAGAGGATTCCTAATCATACATATGTGATGACTATTTTTATCTCACCTGACCCTAATGAAGAACATATTAGTTATTGCCATTACTTTGCATCCACTTGTCTAACCCCTTTCCTTAAAGACAAATTGACAAATAAGAACTGTATTTTCTTTCAAAACCATGTAACAAGTGCGAATACATTTTCTCGTTGCTTTCAAATATAGCAATAGTTGTCTCATTGGCAATCACACCACGTCTTATTTTTATATATGTTAAAATAAGCATCAACACGTTTTCATCAATTATTCTTACAAAGTATACATTTGTATTGCAATTAACATCATCATCACACTATCTTAATGGTCATCATTATCATCATCTGACATTGTCATCAATATTTTATAAGTTATTTACACTGTAAGTGGCCAAGTTGTCAGATTTGTTCTTTGTTTGTTTTGTACATAAATCAGGACGTTAGTTTTCTTGTTTGAATTGCTTCATTTGTCATTTTGGGGCCTTTTAAAGCTTACTTTGCAGTATGGGTTTTGCTCATTGTTGAAGGCCGTACAGTGACCTATAGTTGTAAACTTCTATATTATTTGGTCTCTGGTGGAGAGTTGTCTCATTGGCAATCATACCACATCTCCTTATTGTCATGCTTTCGTCGTGGAAAACGAGACATAGGAATTGCTTTTCCGGCGAAGGCGACGACGGTGTCAACAATAATTAAGTTTTCTGCTCAAGTTAGTTTGATAGGAACTAATTGGGATAGATCATTGATATGTAATATAAAGTTGCATTACTATCAGTTTGACGACTTTTTTGAGGCCCTGCCCCCTACTAGGACATGGTCCAGTCAGTGACTGAATTAACAAGAATTTTCAATGTTAAGTTTTCTTGTTCATTTAGTTTGATAGGATCTTCTTGTGATAGATCAATGATGTTTTGTATGAAGTGCACAGTTTATATCAGTTTGACCACTATTTCGAGGCCCTGTCCCCTAGGTACATGGTCCAGTGACTGAATTAATTAGCAATTTTCAATGTTAAGTTTTCCGTTAAGTCAGTTTGATAAGAACTGCTTGTGATAAATCAATGATATTTTGTAACAAGTTGCATCACTATCAGTGCATATTAGTTTGACGACTATTTTTGAGGCCCTTTCCTCTTGGACATGGTCCAGTGACTATGAATTAATTAGAAATTTTCAATGTCAAGTTTTCTGGTAAAGTTGGATTATTAGGAAACACTTATAATAGACAACGATATTTTCTGTAAAGTTACATTACTGTCTGTACATATCAGTTTATTAACCATTTTCAGGCCCTGCCCACTAGATCATGGTTCAGTGACTTTGAATTAAGAAGCAATGTTGCTGTCCATCAGATGTCTTTTTCTGAAATTTATGTTGACAGGCGAGACATATCTGTGTGTCAACAGATTATTTTTATAAGTTGTTCATCTACAGTATCACTATAGCCTGTCAACACTGCAGTTGTAAGTTGAACATAGCTGGTATGTTCAATTCCAATCTTTATTGATTAAGATTGCCAGTTTTCCTGCATAAGTTCAGTGGTAGTCCAGCTCCAAATTAAAACTGGCTGCCATGATATAGCCAATAGTGCTGAAACATGCATTAAAACACAAACAATCAATCAATCAAGCCCTGCTCTGTTATTATTTGACAAGGATTCCCAGTTTTTCTGCAGAAAGTCGTAGGTCGCCTGGGTAAGTAACTTGTATCAGTCAAATTTAGAATTCACAATGGGACTTCCTTAAACTATGTAACTGTCTTGAAACAATTTTTTTTCCAGTGACAATCATATATTAAACCCGTACCTTTTGATAAGCTATAAAAGCCACCGGAAAACAAATATTCCACAAATGGTTTTCAAATCTTGCATGAGCGTTAATACTGTTGTTTTTTAAGTAAAGATTGATCGACCGATAATTCCCCCTAGTATGAAATCAGTTCTTTGTCTTTTATAAATTATTTATGCAGTATTGGGGTCAAGACAAACTTGTGAATCATGTACAATATATTTTATTGATAAATCTGGAATAAAGGACAGTCAAGATAGAGGTAAAACTATGATATTGATTTTCGGTTCTGTTTCGGAGGAAAACAAATGATAGGAAAGAAAAAATATCACCTTCTAGTGTTGGAGTAAAAAAAGTCCAACTCTTATATAGTATTGATCTTGTTTTAGTGTTCAAGGTGACTGCTATTGTGATTTATTTAAAAAATAAAAGAAGAATGTGTCCATGGGACACAGATGCCCTCACTTGTAAATATACAGCAAATTCAGCATTTTTCCATTTATAAAGGGACATAACTCAAGAACCCTGATAGTGACGCAACCCAAATTCAAACTTAAGTTGTGTTTGGTGGAAACAAGCAATGTGTGTAAGTTGCATAACATTTGGTTGAGGCGTGGTAAAGTTTAGAGTATGGAAATGACAAATTCAACAATTTTTTCCAATGTATACAAGTTTCATAACATTTGATGGAGTCAAAATGTAGTTAGCGTGTGGAAATGGCAAATTTAGCAATTTTTCCATTTATAAAGGGACACAACTCAAGGACGCTGAAAGTGACCCTGTCTTAAATCGAACTTGATTTGTGTTTAAAGGTAAAAAGCATTATGGATAGGTTTCAAAATGTTTGATTGAGGCAAACTTAAGTAAGTGAATGGAAACCAATGGGACGTACATACAGACTTGCGTACAGATGGACGAAAAGAACTGCCCTTTGTCCGCACAGGCACTTGTCTCTGCAAAATAAATTACCAAATACTTTAATTAAGGTATATAGGTAATTTTCAACAGAGACAAATGTGTTTGTCCAGGATAGGGACATAAAAAAAACTGAGTGATATGCAGTATCCATTTTATTATTTTTATATTTACACCCCAGGTCTCGAATTCTGACATTGCTGTATTGAGAAATTTTGTATCTAGAGTTGATCATAAAACTGAAATAATTGAAGTATATGTAAATGTGTACACTGTTGATCTCGTCGTCCATGAAAGGTCAGTTAGGCGGGAAATCATCTATATTAAATGTAAATATGCACGCTTTTAGAGCATGTATTTTTATATGACCGCAAAAAATTTTTGTGGTCGTATATTGGTATGACGTCGGCTTCGTCTCCGGCGTCGTCCGAAGACACATTGGTTTTCGCACTCTAACTTTAGTTTAAGTGAATGGATCTCTATGAAATTTTACCATAAGGTTCAATACCACAAAAGGAAGGTTGGGATTGATTTTGGGGGTTATGGTACCAACAGTTAAGGAATTAGGGGCCAACAATAAGCATTTTTGTAACTTCCAGACATAACTTGTGTGTTAGTGTATGGATCTCTCTGACATTGTACCTCAAGGTTCCATATCACACAGGGAATGCTGGGATTGATTTTGGGGGTAATTGCCTCAAAATATTAGGAATTTGGGACCAAAAAAGGGGCAAAAAACAAGCATTTTTCTAGTTTCATGACAATAACTTGTGTGTAAGTGTATAGATCTTTCTGAAATTGTACTACAAGGTTCCATATCACAAAGGGAAAGCTGGAATTGAGTTTGGGGGTAATTGCCCAAAACGTTTAGGAATAAAGGGCCAAAAAGGGGCCAAAAAAAGCATTTTACTAGTTTCCAGACAATAACTTATATTTGATTATAATTTGAAAATAGATATACACTGTATTACATCATATCTAATTTTCGAAAACTATTAATCATATCTAATGTTTTTTTCACTCATATAATCAGTTTTCCACACTGTTTTTAGTCATGCTTGAAGATATTGGCATGATATTTACTTTTTGTTTACACCATGACAAGTTATAGAAAAAGTTAGCATTTTGTTACAGTAAAATGAATTTTTACCTGGTAGGGGACTATGTATTGCCATGCAATACTCTCAGAATGCTTGTTTGTTTAAGAGTTGTGTCCCTTAGAAATATTGATTAAATGGCAATTTGCATCCTTAGCGGGCTCATGTGTACAATTCTTGCCAGATATTTATGAAACTAATATCATTGGTTTATATTGGCAATGTTTTTGACACTTTCGTAAATAAGTGCTGATCAAATAATTTTAACGAGTTATGCCCCTTGAAAATATTAATTACATCAGAAATGACATTGAATTTGCTCTGAAGCATTCATTTCTCTAAGATATTTATGAACAGTTTGAAAGAACAAAAAAAATGTGTATTTTTTAGTTATTGCCCTTGTACCTTGGATGGATAAAATATGTTCAACGCGGGGGACATTGGAACTCTGTTCTTTTATTGATCTTGAAGATTAGCTTTGGTCCAAGAAGTAAAATATTAAAATTGAAGTCAGTATATTTTCAAAAGTTTGTAATTGCTTCAGACATTATCTTTTAATCATTAACAAGCTCCTGCGGACGTTTCATAAAATTATATGAAGGTTTGACAAAGTAATTGATGGGGAAAAAACATTAACCTTAGACGTTATCTACTTGCTAACAGTAAAAACAAACTTAGACCATTTACCAGTAAAATACGGAAAAATGAAAATAAATATTCTCAAAATTTTGCTCATGATACTGTCTTCTGATCATAAAAAAGCTTCTGTCCAAATTTCATAAAATTCCATGAAAGTTTGACATGCATATATTGATGTCTAAAAAAACTTTAACCACTGACTGAACCTAAATGTTGAATCTAGGATTGCTATTTCTCGCTTTCGAGACATAAATGTCTTAGGCTCGACAGAAATGGACAAAAACTATAAAAAATAGTGAAAAACAGACCTAAAAAAATAAAGAATAGAGAATAATGGGCAAAAATATTAAGTATGGAGAAAAGGGGCATAAAAAAATAAAGAATATAGAAATGAAGGACCAACATATTGGGAAAAATGTATTTTTTCCAGGGATTTTAATCATTAGCTTGAAAACGAGTATATGGACCCCTCTTTTTAGTCCCCTACCGACAAAGTCCAAGGGATTTTAGGTTTGCACTCTGTCCGTCTGTCTGTCTGTCTGTCCATCCGTCCATCCGGCAAATCAGTTTTCCCACACTTTTTTTCTTCGTGCTTGAAGATATTGATTTGATATTTGGTGTATTGTTTAATCATGACAAGTTACAGATCAAGTTCGAATTTTGTTCTGGTCTGACTATTTTGTGCAGAGTTATGGTCCTTGAACTTAGAAAATTCACTCAGACAATCAGTTTTCCACACTTTTTTATACGACTGCAAAAAAGGTTTGCGGTCTTATATTGATATGACGTTCGCGTCGGCGTCGTCGTCCGAAGACACATTGGTTTTGGCACTCTAACTTAAGTTTAAGAGAATGGATCTCTTTGAAATTTTATCATAAGGTTCAATACCACAAAAGGAAGGTTGGGATTGATTTTGGGGGTTATGGTACCAACAGTTAAGGAATTAGGGGCCAAAAAGGGGCCAAAAATAAGCATTTTTGTTACTTCCATACATAACTTGTGTGTTAGTGTATTGATCTCTCTGACATTGTACCACAAGGTTCCATATCACAAAGGAAATGCTGGGATTGATTTTGGGGGTATTTGCCTCTAAATTTTAGGAATAAGGGGCCAAAAATAAGCATTTTTCTAGTTTCCAGACAATAACTTGTGTTCAAGTGTATGGATCTCTCTGAAATTGTACTGCAAGGTACCATACCACAAAGGGAAGGCTGGGATTGATTTTGGGGGTAATTGCCTCAAAATTTTAGGAATTAAGGGCCAAAAAGGGGCAAAAAACAAGCATTTTTCTAGTTTCAGGACAATAACTTGTGTGTAAGTGTATGGATCTTTATGAAATTGTACTACAAGTTTCCATATCACAAAGGGAAAGCTGGGATTGAGTTTGGGGGTAATTGCCCTAAATGTTCAGGAATTTGGGGCCAAAAGGGGGCCAAAAAACAAGCATTTTTCTAGTTTTCAGACAATAACTTGTGTTCAAGTGTATGGATCTCTCTGAAATTGTACTGCAAGGTACCATACCTCTAAGGGAAGGCTGGGATTGAGTTTGGGGGTGATGAATCATAAGGGGGTTCAAAAAATTTGGGGGGGGGGGATTTTTTTTTCCTTTTTTTTTTTTTTTTTTTTTTAAATTTTCCATTTTAAGTTGGTTATTTTTTATTTATATATAAAAGCAAATAATAATGATATGGTTTGATTTCATCAAAAATTGAAATATTGGGGTTCTTTGATATGCTGAATCTAACCGTGTATTTAGATTCTTAATTTTTGGTCCCGTTTTCAAATTGGTCTACATTAAGGTCCAAAGGGTCCAAAATTAAACTTAGTTTGATTTTAACAAAAATTGAATTCTTGGGGTTCTTTGATATGCTGAATCTAACCGTGTATGTATTTAAATTTTGGATATTGGACCATAATAGGTAAATTAAAAATTTTTAAGTTGTTAGACCACATTCATTCTGTTTCAGAAACCTATACTGTGTCAAATATTTAATCACAATCCAAATTCAGTGCTGTATCAAGCTTGAATGTTGTGTCCATACTTGCCCCAACTGTTCAGGGTTTGACCTCTGCGGTCGTATCAAGCTGCGCCCAGCGGAGCATTTTATTGATAAAGTTGAAGTCCAAATAACTTGAAACTTAGTACAAATGTTCCCTATGGTATGATCTTTCTAATTTTAATGCCAAATTAGAGTTTTGACCCCAATTTCATGGTCCAGTGAACATAGAGAAAATGATAGTGCGAGTGGGGCATCCGTGTACTATGGGCACATTCTTGTTGAAACTTAAAGTAAAACCTTCATATCACACACTTTCAACATAAATTCAATCATGAAAAGTAAGGCAGGCGAGACATACTAGTATCAGCATGTGCACTCTTGTTGACCAGATATTGTCTTCAATCTTCAACTTGTTAGCTTTATTGCTCTTGGTTTTTTCATATTTTGAAATCATGCTGCTCATATTTTTAGCAAAGTACATTTCAGATCCCATTCCTTTATCTCCTTCTTGCTCATATAAACACAATCTTAATATTGTGGTGAAATAGCACAAATAAATTGATTTATGCAAAGTAGCTTGGTAGGAGTAAGAAGTACGACAGAAAAAGACATTATTGGAAATAGCTGTAGCATAGAAAGAAAAAAAGAGCGCCCATTCCCCAAGACCATGTGTAATAATCTGTACCAAGATGTATAAAAGTCAAAAAGGATGATTTGAAAAAACCCAACACATTTGAACCTGTTTGCCTTAAAACTGATATTACCATGAACAATCTTGGGTGAAGTACCACTTTTAATATACGAGTCTTATTAAGTTGTATCATGATTCCATTATAAACCAATTTATCTTGATTGCCGATAGTGCTAAAAATTAAGTCTTTATTTATTTTAGTAAAGACATTTTATTATATCTTTATTCCTATTGTAAAAATCTTTTAATTTGAATGAGAATATGTTTTGTGGTATAGATTGCACGTATGCAATCAAAACCTCTGTGGGTCTGCATGACTTTATCACTACACTTGAGTTTAAAAATAAACCAAACAAAGTGCATTGAGCGCAACATTCTTTATATCTTATTTGTGAACTTTTCAAGAAATTTATCTGAAATGTATGCTCAGATATTCAAGTTACAAAATGATGGGTATATGTATAACTACAAATTGGAATTCAGTAGGATTCAGAATCCCCTTAGAACGAATTGAAGTTCCAATATCTGCGATAAAAAATTGGAATATCCAGATTCGATCAAAATATTGGTTTTGTACCATCTTTCAGTTTCTATGATTCGGTAGCGTGTTCGTAAATACGCCAACATATTGTTGAAACCTTAAAATAGACATGCTTTGTTAGTCTTGTATCATTTTTAATTTTAGTTTCTTGTGTATAACTTGGAGTTTAGTATGACGTCCATTATCACTGAACTAGTATACATATTTGTTTAGGGGCCAGCTGCCTCCGGACGCGGGAGTTTCTCGCTGCATTGAAGACCCATTGGTGGCCTTCAAATTTGTTGTCTGTTGTCTGCTCTATGGTCGGGTTGTTGTCTCTTTGACACATTCCCCATTTCCACTCTCAATTTTAAATGTATGATAACGTAAATTTTAGTACAAATTGAAGGATTACTAGAAAATGATGCAGAAGTGAAATATATTTATGGGAAATAAACTTTTTCTCTTTGGATATCAAAATCCTAAAATAAAAAAAAAAACGATTGCGTTTAACGTTTGCTGAGCAGGCTAGCAGTTTCATGGGGATACCAATGATCGCTTAACGCAATACTTTTATCTTCAAAACATGGAGGGGCATCGGTGGCCGAATGGTCTAAGTAGTTCAGCTACTATCACTAGCCTGTCAACACTGATGTTGTTAGTTCCAACCCTACACATTGCTGGTGCGTTCGGCTCCAATCTTAATTGACTAAGATTTTTTTTTAGTATTGGTTTCTCCACCAAAAATGGTCACACCGGTTGAAAGGGGCGCTAAACACCAAAATTTTCAAGCGAAAACCAATGGCTAAATTCTTCACATTTTCAATTAGTATATTTAAACTGAATAGTGGTATTATAAAGAGAAGTCCTAGCAACTACTTCCATGTTCATAACAACTATAAATATTTTCAAGCGAAAGCGAATGGCTAAAATCATTTCTTTGCATGTTCAATTTGTATTTGTAAATTGAATAGTGGAAAGAGGAGTCCTAGCAATTACCAAAGAAAGTTACACAGAAAAAAATACATTTTGCTTGTGCGATATGATTATGTTATGTGTCGAAAATAAAGAGTAGAGAGATCTCAATTTTCATAGGAGAAAAAACTTATTCCCAAAGAATTTAAAAACTTCGGATATGGTAAATTGCTAGTAGAAGGACAGAGATATAAGTAGTTCAGCATTTACTTGATGCAGATGTGATCGAAACTTAAAGAGGATTTTGTATAATTCAGGAAGCTGCTTAAAATTCCATCATCGTTGAGATGTGTCCATCTGAATATTTTCTTAAATGGAAGTAATAGGAATTTATTGTATCTGTTTCATCTCTATATTCGGCTACATACGACAAACAACGACATTGTTGGCTGCTTTGTCATATGGTGCAAACAAGTGACGATTTCCGAGAGTATTTGATTTATTTTTCAATCTGGTAATCGTTTTGATATGAACATACAAGTGAAATATGGAAATACTTTAACCAGATGAGTAAATTTCTGATTTCGTGTAATCTTTTTCTGTTATGCACCAACATTGGCAGTTAATTTAAGCAGGTCGATGATATCAAGTTTTCTGTATTTCACATCACAGCATCTCGAACAGGACAAAAAGGTCTGTTGTAACAATATTGCCACAGGGCTCAAATCTAAAACTTTCACTGTTTTGTGAATTGGGAGAGTTTTTATCAATATCAACATGAAAAGAAATTGAAGTATAATTGATGTTTTATAAGTATAACACAGAAAAGGTTAGTTGTAGAGTTCTCTATTAACACATTCACGTTTCAAATGAAATTTCGATTTCGCCAGATATGTATCCACATTAAACATATTAATCTTAACGACGAATGCAAGTTTAGTAATGACTACTTCACTCCGTCCGTCCGAAAGACCTTTTGTAAAAATGTTTCGTCAAAGGTTTTCTTAGCTTCTATTCAAGGAAATTATTTTATATTTGGTTAGTATTGTGTTGTTGCGTGTAAGCAAGTTTTACATCTGTTCATCCACTTCCTGTTTACCGATAGTTTGAAATTTTACAATACTCATTTTATACAATGATTTTTTGTCAAAGTGTTTTTAGCTTTTATGCAATGGAATGATTTTATATTTGGTGTGCAGCTAAATAATGCTGAGCTTTAGTGTGTAAGCAATCTTTGCATCTGTCGTGCGGCCAACAACTTCCTGTGCGCCGATAGTTTAAAATTTTGCAACGCTCATTGTACACTACTTGAAAATATTTTTTTTAACAGACAAAAGGTTTCACTACCTTATTAATCCATTTAATACATGTATGTCATTAATATATTATTTCAAACGATTGTCGGATTGGTTCTTAGGACGCATTTTTTCGAAAGTTCAATAAAAATATTTCATGAAAGAACATACTTAAAAAAATTCAGAAATTGAAAACTACAACCACAAATAACTTACACATTTTTTTTTTAAGTCTGTTATCAAATCTGTTTGGCAGAGTTTGAGGAGATGCAACTGAAAGTGTGCCAGATTTCTTTTTTTTTGCAGTTTTATATGTATAAAATAATTAACATGGCTAAATTTCACTTTGATAATATGTCATCTCAAATGAAATTTTACCAGCAAGAAGTACACTTAAAGTTTTAACAGTTATTGTAGCATAGGGTTGTTTTGTTATTCAAACGCACTTACTCTGTAACAATGATTCATTACAAAGATGTAAAAAAACAATTAGTAAAATTTTGCATCGAATGATTGATTGATGTTTTTTGCTCTATGTCCAGTGAACAGTATTTCGTGCATGTAAAGACGTCTTTAACCAACATAAACTTAATATATTTGTATCTAAAAGTTAATACCTGTTCGAATCCCAATCTCCTTGCAATAAACAAGATCTTACCTTCCGAGCAATGATTTTTATACGACCGCAAACAATTTTTGGCCAAATTTTTTTCCCCTCATGTTTTAAGAAATTGTCAATTTTCCAAAATAAATTGGGGGTCACAATTTATTTTGCTTATTTGTCTATAGTCTGAAAACATATTTACTAAGTATTGCGCAACAGCACAGTATATTGCACAACAGCAAGAAATCTTCAATTGAATATAAATTCAAATCATATAACCAATTTCAAGTTCTTTGACTACATTTATTCTGTGTCAGAAACCTATAATGTGTGAAATATTTAATTACAATCCAAATTCAGACCTGTATCAAGCTTGAATATTTTGTCCATTTTTGCCCCAACTGTTCAAGGTTGGACCTCTGCGGTCGTATCCAGCTGATCTCGACGAAGCAGTTTATTGATATTATCGTTTGTCAATTACATTTGGCTTTTTGTAAGCATCCCATATTTTCTGCAACTTTGGATAACAGTTATTTCTATAGCTTTCCCTCGTTTATCATGATCGAATAGAATTGAGAATGGAAATGGGAAATGTGTCAAACAGAC